GCAACTCATGGCTCGGCAAGTCCTCGTCGGCAAGCCCCAATTCGTCCCCCGGTGCCCTGCTTGCCCCTCGGAGCGATCTCCAGCCACACGATAGCAAGTGGGAGGGAAGGCAGAAGGACTCAGTCCCGACCGGCTTAGGGTCCACCCTTCGCTGAACCCTCGGGAATCTGTGGTGACTCTCGGCCGGAAACTGACGATCGTCTAGCAGAGCCGGATCAGCGAGATGTTGTTGTTGACCTCGCCGTCATTGACAGGGTCCACGTCGCCATCGGAGGTCAACGGTTCGTCGTTGTCGCGCTGATCGGTTAGCTGTGAGTCGTGGACGCAGATAGGCAGCACCATAGAAGTGAGAAAAGTGGCCTCACCTTTTCTTTCTGGTCGCCGGAATATGCGTTAATGCTGTTCGATGGGCCATAGGTGGGGTTTCCTTACACACTGGCCGGGTTAGTGGGATCTTCCTGTGGTGGGGGATACGTACAAACTATGTTGAGGGGATATGCACTCAGCATTAGCCATTCCTTGTCAGTATGACTTGGGACTTACGCTCTGCTGTTTGTAAGCGCGGATCTGATTCAAGCTCTCAACATTGGTTTGAACTTACCAGCTGATGACCAGGACAGGCTTAGAGTTAGCATTTGCCAATGCCATAAGGTATGCGATTAGGGCACTCACAAGCTGCTTAATGTTAGTATATACCAATACATTGTGGGGAGAATCTTACGCTCTGCAATGTGATGAAAAAGTAAGATTGGGATAGTCAGCTGTTTGGTAGGACAAGAAAACTCACAACCTAAACATAATTAGTGGGTGGTGAGATGGCAAGGCGGAAAGTCAACTTACATTCTGTTTTCCGTATCAGTATCGATACTCTATCAGCCACTCGAATGAAAAGATTGAGAAGACTCACGTTCTGGGTACGTTAGCTTGGCATGGTTCTAGAATGGAGGGGCAAACTCACGTTCTGATGACAGGGAAAGATCCACGTCAGTGGAGGTCAACCATCATCGGGAAAGAGGATACATACCACCTGCTCGTGTCAGTCATGTCAAAGAGCAAGAACGGATTGAACTTACAGTCTACAAGCCAGCAAGTACCAAGCTCTCAGCAGCAGGATCTTAGGTCAAGTCGAGACAAGAGTACTCACGCCCTGCACAGATTAGCAACCTCAAAGATTATCGAGAGCAACCAAAGAGCATACATTCTGATCCCGAGTTAGTTTCGAAGAATTAGTACTGTAGCAACAAGGAAGACTCACATTCTAATCCAGCAATCAGTCTTACGCTGCACAGTCAACAAAGCTATACAAGATCAAGAACAACATACAACCTAAGCAACCATTTAGCATCAACATTTCCCAAACCGGTAGGTGAACTTACAGGCTTGAGACGGGCAAATCACACAACCGTCAGCACGCGCAACAGGATAATGTTACCACATCAGTGGAGCCAGATACATACATCCTGGGCGTCTTGTTAGTCCCTCCAACCCCCCGAGGCACACCGAACCATGCACCAGGGTTGACTTACCACTTCACCATTCTATGCAGTAATGATGAGCAAAGAGTTAGTTTGAGCAGACCCATCCGGGTTCCAGTTTGACGCGGCCCAGCGATCCTTACCTCTGTCAATTCTCTTCGGACAATGAGCGGGTGCGTCGGAAGCATGGGGGCAGCCATGCAGCCGACGAGGAGGGCAGCGGACCACAGTGCGAAGCGCATAATGATGGGTAATGAAGCAAGGATGATGGATAAGTGAAACCGGAAGGAAAGAGTGTATCAGTGGGAATGGAGCTCAAGAGTCAGTTGAAGTGTTCGAGTCAACAAATTAGAAAGACAGGGTGTGGAAAAAGAGGGGCAGGTGATGAGGCAAAGAGAAAGAGAAGTGGAAGAGAGAGATCGAGAGAAAGAAAGGTTAGAGGAAGGACGAAGCAGGTGGTGACGGTGACGGTAGGCGAACCGCCAGACAAGGGAAAGTAAAGCCAAGAAAGACTGACTGGGGGCAGCTTTGGTCAATTCCTCTCCTGGATACTCTAGAGTGCGAGTCAAACGAACCGGTTTGCCGGTGCTCTTTCCCGGGCTCCACCTTTTAGTCTTCCAGTACCGACGATCAGCGGATCGATCGACAGGACCCAGCGGCATAAATCAGGATCGAGATGCGGGAACACGGAAGATAATGATGCTCAGGCATTCTCCTGGAGTTCCAGCCTCGCTCCATGGCCAGTCAGGGTCCTTGACATTGGCAGTCTTTGCTGTTTACCACTTAGGGCAAGACGCGGGCAGAGCCCTGACATCACCGGCGGGGCTCCACCACAAGGTTGTTTCATCGCGAGATCTCCTATCCATGAACTAGTTACTTGTTGTGTCAAGTTGTGGACTGCGAGACTCTATACCATCCGTAACTGCGAAAATTAGATAGCAGGTTGAATAGTCCTTTGCGGTCGCGTTCAATCAACATTCAATGTCCCATCCGCAGTCCAGCCGCAAGAGATGCTATCACCCAGCCGCGAGTCAGTCGTCTCCACACTGGCCATACAGCCTATCCACCGGTTCGACGATCGATGGATCTCGGCCTCGAGGTGATCTTCCCCAGATACAGTAAGTGGGACCGATCGGATCAGGGTCAACGCAACCATGATTCCTGAATCCTGATTGAAACAGGGTTTCAGCGGAGTACGCGAAAGAGCTCTCCAAGCTTGATGACTTTAAAAGTTTACTTGACATAGAGATACCACAAGATTCAGGATGTAGCATATCAATATTAAGTTCGACCGCAGAAAGGCAGTATACGGCGGAAAACAGTGGACAAGGATCAGTACAGCATCAGGCATATAGATGCAGCGTGCCATATTTCCCTCGTTATAGATATCAACTCCAGAAGAAGAAACTCTAAATTCTTGGTCGTTTTACATGCCGGAGATATCTTTTCTTTTTCCCGTTTCCGTTTCCGTTTTTCTTCTTTTTGTTTTCTCATGCTGATTCTCTCAAAATGCCGCCGATCCTCGCAGGCCAAAAGCGGATCGGCAAAAATCGATCGGGTATCGATCGGTTCATCTCCAAGAACCCAATATTACATATCCATGATCTATAAACCACAAACTTATCTATTTACATACATCAAATAACAGAAGACGTACCAGCCTCAGATATACAAAACGAACAGTAGACATCCCCCAACAGAATTACACCCACTGCGAGACCCGCAACCAAACCTCCCGCCCATGCCTGGCCACCAAATATGCCACCGCAACCCCGACCCCGTAGCACGTCATCTTCCTCAAGAACCTCGCAAAAGCACTCCGTACCACCGCCGCCGACTTCTTCTGAAAGATCGCTTTCTCGTTCGCGCGCGGGAACGGCGTGGCGGGGACATCCTTCCCCAAAAAGCCACACAAGGGCTCCCAGCCCTCGGCGGGGTTCCACTCGAGAAGACGATCTTGCGGCACGACGCTTCGGACGCGATCGTAATGCTCGCGAAACGCCTGCTTGCCATTGCGGGCGAAGTCGCCGGCGAACATCGCGTCAAACCCCAGGCGGCACATCCGGTTGCCCGCCCCAAACTTCTCGGGGTCGATCCACCCCAACAGCGTCGCGAGGGGGCTGTAGGTCTGCGCCATGATGGTCTGCTGCATCGAGGCGTACCAGGCGTCGACGTCGCGTAGGGTCAGCACCACCTTGGCATCGGGGTAGGCGGCCACCAGCTCGTCCACGAAGACGGCGGCGGGGAAGTCCGTGACGGCCTCGACGTGGCCCAGGAGCTGGTCCCAGTCGGCGCGCGTGAAGGGGCGGTCGCCGTGGTACTTGCCGCGGAAGGCTTCGGTCCACAGCACCGCGTCCTTGGGGTTCTGCATGATCGAGGTCATGTGGTAGGTCTCGTAGCCGAGTTCCTGGAGGGCGAGCCATGTTGCTTTGGGGGGTTGTTAGTGTTGGTCGAGAGGGGATAGTGTCGCACGGGGATGCGAAAGCAACTGTGCTATTGCGCTGGAGGATGTGGCACACTTACACAGAGTTCCCGTGCGGCAGAGGCCCAGAACAAGGACCTGCATCGGCTTTACACGATGGCAGGTCCGTCGATCGATGTTGGTCTGCACCAGCACGCTTTCAGTATCCTTCATGATGACGGAAGTACAAGACAACAGTAAGAACAATAACCAAAGAAGTGACAATGATAAAACAACCGCGATAACACCTGTCACCGTCGATGAGTGCCAGGGTCGCACTACTTATCCTGACTGTCTATACGGATCATCTCTGCAGACTCCATTTCTACGCTTGGCAGCTTCCCAAACCACACTGCACAGGGGATCATAATCTTGGATACCTCGCAAAACCCAGGATAGAGACCCTCAGCGCAGAGTAGGATCCGAACACTACCTGAGAAGGAAAATTCGTTTCGAGACACTAAATATCTAGAAAGTATTGAGTACCGATGGTTGATTTGATAAGAGGGCTGGAAGGGAGTGCAGCGCAGGGTCCAGCATATTGTGGGTGCTATGCCGATCGTCGCTTGAGGATACGTATATGTACAGGATATCCACGAGGTCCAGAAATAGCAGAACTGCGATTGACGATGAAGAGTTTGGCGGAAGGGTTCGGAAGGGGAATTCAATTTAACCATGAGAAACAAAAAAAAGAAAGAGTGGAGCTTTCTTGCCGCAGCGGGTGAAGAATATCAATTTCCCGATCGGGGAAAAGCAGCCTGTCCCGAGCCCACGGTACTTCCCGATCTATGCCCGAGACTCTTCCATGGTGTCGGTCTGTTTCTTATTCAACACAAACATGAAGACAGAACAAAGTGCAGTGAAGAAAGGCCTCCAATCCCAAGCATGCACTATCATAGAAGCATTCTGACAGCACACAATGAACGTTGCAACCAGAGACGAGACATCCGTCAATGCAGTCACCTAGATCCTGAATGAGTGCCGAAGACTCGGCATATCTCTAGCGTAGACGGAGTACTCAAACAGTAATCTATGCGACCCTGTTGGAAGATGAGTAGAAGTCCAAGCGTCTCCCCTGCCAGGGCATTTAGCCCATGACGTAGACTACGCCAAGGCCACGATGAGATCCACTGTGGGTCGTTGAAGAAGATGAAGAAGATGAAGAAGACGAGGGAACTCTATCTAATCGCTTACCGTCACCGTCACCGTCACCGTCACCGTCATAACCGTATCGAAACACAAGCTGCCAGCTGCCATACTAGCCCTTACAGCCAGTGCAGCCCTGAACACGTCTTGCCACTTCATCCACTTCATCCACACTCTCACACACATACTCATGCCCATATACCAATGCTACAGCGGAGACAGAAGATCAGAGTCAGCCCCAGCTCATTGTTACCCGCGGTAATGAATGGGACCCAGGGTTGATGCTCAGGTACAGCAGCACACTCAGCTCCATACTGTGTGTCCACAGCCGGAAGCATAGCCGGATCTGGGAAAGAAAGAAAGTGCCTGTCTTATCAGTCAGTCTGTGAGTGACCTACTGATTGCAAATTATCAATCACAAGAAACATTTGTCGATCTGGAGCTGCGAAGTCTGAAGCTCAGGCTGTTCTCCCCAAATTTCTCTCGCTCGCAATTACTCGCTCGAACTTACCTCCCTGCATAATCCCATCAACCTCTCTCGCTTCAACTACCACCCATTTACACCACCTCTAGCTATATGTAATCAGCAAGCGCGACTTGCCTAACACCCGTCATTCTTCCTTCCACTTGACGCGCGCAGTCATGTTGCAGATCGTGCCTGGTGCCTTCGACGCAGCACTCTGCCACTTTCCGACCGAGAATCTCCAGCGCAATGCGCCGGGGTTCAAGTCCATCTCCGTGCGCGCGGGCGCATCCTCCACCGAGGCCGTGTTAGAGGCTTGGACGGTCGTACTACGATATTACACGGGGAGCGATGTCCTCTCCTTTGGGTTGGCGGACAGCACGGTGGCCGATGCCTTGTGGTTTGCGGTGTGCCACGGTGAGATCCCTGGCGACACTGCTCTGGCGCAGCTTCAGCCGTCGGTTCAACAGCCGGCACAGGATGTACCGACCGTCCAGAGTTTCAAGGACTGGGCGGCCATAAGAAGATCATTCAATACCCTTGTCTGGAAGTCGACGCAGACCGAGGAACAACATCTTGCCGAAGTCGATCCCTCTCATGTAAGTAAACCCACTCCTCCAATCATCACTCGATCTTCCCTGCTGACTGGTCAGTTTCCCCTTATACTCTCAGTCGCTGATGCGACAGAAGAGCTTCAAGTGACCCTTCATTATGCCGCGCAGGCCATCGGCGACAGCATCGCAGCTGCAGTTGCGGAAGCGATTGCGAAAGCGACAGCGGCGATCCGCGACGCACCAGATACCATAATCGGAGAGGTGGATCTTCTTGGGCCGTCCTCGTGGACGCGATTCCAGGAGCTGAATGCGACGGTGTCTCCGACCATCGATGCTTGTCTGCATGAACAGATCGACGAAGCGGCGAAGCGTTGCCCGGATCGCACGGCGCTGGAATGCTGGGATGGATCCGTATCGTACTCGGAACTGGTAGACTACACTGCGCGACTGGGCAACTTCCTCATCTCCCAGAACGTCGGACCAGAGGTGTTCGTGCCCGTCTGCTTCGACAAGTCCCTCTGGGCCGTAGTCTCCATGTTGGGAGTTCTGAAGGCCGGCGGCGCATTCGTCTGCATCGATCCCGCCCAGCCGATAGACCGTCTGAGGACAATCATAAGCGAAGTAGAAGCCAACCTGGTGCTTACGGCGCCGGGCTATGTGGACATGGTGGCGCCGAATGTGTCGCAAGTCATCGCCGTGGACGCAGACTTCGTTCAAAGCCTTCCCCTCTGCCCAGACCTCCCTAAGCGCGCCAGCCCCCGCGATGCAGCCTTCGCAATCTTCACCTCCGGTAGTACCGGAAAGCCCAAGGGGATCGTGCACGAGCACCGCGCGGTATGCTCTAGTGTCAGCGCACACAGTGGACCGCTAAACATCAACAGCGACACCCGCACATTCCAATTCGCAGCCTATACGTTCATCGTCAATACTTTCGAGCTGTTCACCCCGCTGGTTAAAGGTGGCTGTGTCTGTGTGCCCTCCAAGGAGGACCGGTTAGGTCGAACAACGGCCGCGATGCGTGAACTCCGAGCCAACTGGTTCTGCACGACACCTTCATTCCTACGATCCATCACGCCAGAAGACGTTCCGGATATCAAGACGTTACTGCTGGCCGGCGAGCCAGTCCAACAGGATAACCTCGACACATGGCGCAGTCGAGTGCGGATGCTGAACATGTACGGGGCAAGCGAAGCGTCCGTCTGCGTGACAGGAGATCTTTCGGGATCCGTCGAGCGCTCAACGATCGGTCGGGGCACAGGCGTCGCTGCTTGGGTCGCCGACATCAACAATCACGATCGGCTGGCTCCGCTCGGTGCAACCGGTGAACTGGTGGTCGAAGGTCCCGTGCTAGCACGAGAGTACATCCATCAGCCGGAGAAGACGGCTTCTGTCTTCATTTCGAACACTCCATGGCTGAAGGATATTCGGGGCGCAGCGTCATCCGCTCGGGCTTACAAGACTGGTGACTTGGTGCGACTGGGAAGCAATGGCCTGATCAACTTGGTCGGACGCAAAGATATGCAGGTGAAATTGCGCGGCCAGCGTATTGAACTGGAGGAGGTGGAATTTCACTTGCGCCAGGCGTTGCCCCGCGGTACAGAGGCAGCAGTAGGCCTTGTAAAGCCGGTCGACCAGCAGGACCGACCCATGCTGGCGGCTTTCGTGGCACTCAGGAAGGGATTCGACGATAACTTCCGAACTCCCGACGCGGCATCAGCGGAGGATCTCGAGGCGCTGACCCAGGGCTGGAAGAGCAAGCTCTCTGCTGCTGTTCCCGCGTATATGGTTCCTTCGACAATGGTCAAGCTGAATCATATGCCACTGTCCCCATCCGGCAAGACCAACCGCAAGGCGATCAGTGATTTCGCCTCACAGTTGACTGTTGCTCAGCTGACGGGTGCCACCAAGAAGAATCACCGGGAGCCTGCCACGGAGATTGGCTTTGTGCTTCGCAAAATCTGGGCTGAAGTCTTGCAGGTTAAGGAGGAATCGATTTCAGCAGATGATGACTTTCTGCAGCTGGGTGGCAACTCCATTGATGGCATGAAACTCGTGAATCTTTGCGGGTGTGAAAATATTGGGTTGAGTGTGGCAGATGTCTTCACCCATCCGACTCTGGACGATATGGCAGAAGCTTCCATTGCGCTCGACAGCATCCAGCCATTTGAAGATGTGCCGTTCTCCTTGCTTGACACCAGCGAGAATCTCAACAGCGTGCTCAACGCTGCAGCCGAGCAGTGCCGCGTCGACAAGTCAGCTATCGAGGACCTCTACCCTTGCACCGCGATGCAGGAAGGTCTGATGGCGCTCTCGGATAGTCGCAATGGAGTGTACATGGCGCAGCACACTCTTGCTCTCGGTCCGAACATTGACCTGAAACGATTCAAGCAGGCATGCCAGGACGTAATCACCGCACACCCCATCCTGCGGACGCGCATCATCTACCGCCAGCAGTCGGTATCGCTACAGGCTGTTATCCAGGGGAATATTGACTGGCGTACTGGCGAAAGCCTCGAGGAGTACTTGGCAAATGACAAAAAGCAGCCTATGGGGGCAGGAGATGCTTTAACCCGCTACGGGCTTGCTCCCGGGGAGCACGGATGGATCTTCGTATGGACCGCTCACCACGCTGTCTACGACGCCTGGACACTAGATCTTGTCTTTGAACGTATTGACAAGGCATACAAGGGTCAGCAGCCGGCTCGAGATGTGACCTTCAAGGCATTCATGGACCATGTGGTCCAGACCGACGCCAAGGCGTCCAACGACTTCTGGCAACAATATCTCGCTGGCGCGATGCGGAACGAATTCCCGTGCACTGTCTCTACCGCAAAGCAACCGGTGTCGGACACGACTTCGATTTACGAGATGACTCTTCCCCGCACGGACAACATGCCGGGAATTACGATGGCTTCGATGATTCGTGCAGCCTGGGGGATTCTGATCGGGTCCCATTCCGAATCCGAGGATGTGGTGTTCGGAAACATTGTTTCCGGTCGAAATGCTCCTGTGCCGGACATCGATCGTCTGGTCGGTCCGGGGATTGCCGCCGTCCCGGTGCGCGTTAAGGTTCCCGACGATGCTAGCACTACGGTCAAAGAGTTCGTTGGCAACTTGCAGGCTGAGGCCGCGAAGATGATTGCCTTTGAGCAACTAGGACTGCAGAACATTGGTCGGTCGAGCACAGAGGCGGCCAGTGCTTGTGACTTCCAGACGCTGCTGGTTGTCCAGCCCGCCAAGGACAAGCCGGCTACCGTCGAGGAGCCGGACTTGACAGCTGTGTCGGACGCTGACGCCAATTTTGGAACATACGCCCTCACTTTGGAATGCACCCTGCAGACCCAGGGAGTGAAGTGTGCCGCTCACTTCGACTCCAGTCTCATCGCAGCTGACTACGTCCAGCGGATCCTTGCTCAGCTGGAACACCTCCTTCAGCAGTTCTGCACGTCAAATGCAGACACCAAGTTGGGCGATCTCACCTTCATCAGTGCCAAGGACGAAGAGAGCATCCGTCAGTGGAATCAAGACATTCCGGCTCCGGTCCATAAGACCATCTATCAGTTGATCGAAGAGCGCATCGCAGAGCACCCTAGCAAAGAAGCTGTCTGCTCGTGGGATGGTTCCTTCTCCTATGCGGACTTGGACAACCACTCTGCCCGCTTGGCACATCGCCTTGCTGAGCTCAACGTCCAGCCTGAAGACTTTGTGCCTTGCTGCTTCGAGAAGAGCCGGTGGCCCGTCGCTGCGATGCTGGGTGTCATGCGTGCTGGTGGTGCTTTCTTGAACATTGATCCGACACAGCCTAAAAGTCGCATCCAGCTGATGATCACGAAACTCAAGTCGAAGACAATTGTATGCTCGCCCAAGCAGAACGAGTTGTGTCTATCTCTGGGCCCCGGATACAATGTAGTGGTTTTGTCTGCGGACACACCTCAAGAGCCTGCCATCAGTGGTCTTCCTGTGACGAGTGTCACTCCTCAGAACTCAGCCTATGTGATTTTCACATCTGGAAGTACGGGAGAGCCTAAGGGCACGGTGATCCAACACGGTGCATACGCCTCCGCATCCACAACCCATGCATCGACGATGTTGATGGATGATAAGACTCGCGCGCTGCAATTTGCCTCCTTCACTTTTGACGCTAGCTTGGTCGAGATCCTCACAACGTTAGTTGTCGGCGGTTGTGTGTGCGTGGCGTCGGAGGAGCAGCGCAAGCGCGATGTTACTGAGGCAATCCGAGAGACCAAGTGCAACTGGGCCGCTCTGACCCCATCTTTTGTGAACCTCATCAACCCGGATGATGTTCCGTCTTTGAAGACACTGATCCTGGCTGGTGAAGCGATGTCTCAATCGCACATTGAGACCTGGGCCCATCGACTTCGACTGGTGAACGCCTATGGCCCCAGTGAATGCTGTGTCTGCAGCACGAGTAACTTTGAGATCAC